CGGAAAAGTGTGCGCTTTATCTGGAAGATACTGTATATATAAATATCAGTATTTTTATTTTTTAAACCCATCATCAAATAAAATTATCAATGGGTGTGGAAAGTATAACATTATTTAACAGGGGTGGGGATAGAAACATCATGACTAAAATAATTATAATAATATATTTACGTAAAGAAAGAGACGAGGGGATTGATACCGACTAGTCAGGTGTTACTAATCAGCCAACAATAAAACACGATACAATTTGTTATGTTTAAAAATTTGTTTAAATAATTTCGAATTTGTTTATAAATAATTATTTAAAAATTTTGTTTAAATAATTTCGAATTGGATCAATAATACTATGGTTACATCATCAATAAGATCGTGATAAATCATCAATATTAACAATAGTACCACTATGATATCATTTGTTTTAACTGCCCAAATGATTACATCATCAATAATAACCATAGTAATAACAATAATTATAATTCTAATAATAATAGGGTCAAGGTCGTGATGAGTCATCAATAATAACAATAGTACCACTATGACATCATTTGTTTTCAAGGTCGTGTGAGTCATCGATAATAAAATCATTGATGAGTCATGATTACGTCATCAATAATAATAATACCACTATGACGTCATTTGTTTTGACTGTCCATAGTGGTACTTATACTACTAATACTTTTTGAGTGACGTTCCTCACCGATTTGAAAAACCTTGACGTATAATGTTGTATCTTTGAACTGCGATTCCTCGAAATGACATTTTTCAAATCGGAGAGGAACGTCACTCAAAAAGTATTCAACCGATCCTTTTGAAAATGTGCACCGTTCTTTATAAACCCTTTGAGCAGGTACTTACGTCGAGATATTTCGATTGTTCCGAAAATTTTTTTGTTTATAACAACTTTTCCGAAAAAAGGTCGATTTTTCATGTCTGGACGCAATTTTAACGTTTTTTTCAACTTAAAAATTGCGTCAAAATTCAAAAAATAAATATGATTTCATTTTTGTTCTCTTTGCAATAGTCCAGGCCCCAGCATCGTAACGCTAGAAAAAATTTTTTTTGCCAGTTTTCCAAATATTTTTACGTAAAATTGCTCACTGAATTTAACTTTTCGTGTGCAAAAACAGTGTCGAAAATTGTTGAAACAATTTTTTTAAACAAATTGTCTTTATTTTTTATTTTAAGATCTGATCACTTTACACAACTTTACAATGTGCAATTTTACATAAGAATATTTTTTAAAACCGGCTAGAAGTTTAGAGCCTGGACTATAGGGTATTTGGCCCAGTAATTCACCGCTCCCAATCAGTAAATGACAATTTTATTTTTATTATAGCGGATATAAGAACGGAAAAGACTGACTCGGAGAAAATTGACTCGGAGGAGAATGACTCGGAGAAGATTGACTCGAAGAGCGTTGACTCAGATAATGAGAATTCGGTAAATTTAGAAGACTTCAAATATTTATCGGATAATGTGAGAATGATACTTGCCTATACGTTTCGTCCCTATTTTCGCTCAACTTTTGAATTAAATTTTTATGTGCAGTTTTAGTTTTGTTAAACTGTTCGGTTCATATTGTCCATTGTATTTCTTTTTTTTTCACGTAAAATTAAGTCGTTAATATTTATTATTGAGCGAAAATAGGGACAGACCCTTTATAGTAATAATCACCATCACATATACCAATTGGTAGAAAGAACGTTTGGTCTGTGAATATGTGCCTCGTTCGAGTAACAGCGTGCAGACGGCTCGGTGCCGTGACTATCGCTTGTACATTAAAAGCGTTTTCTATATACTCTTCTGGAGATGCATTATTATCAGCAATCAAATATCATAGCATTCTATTCACTGCTACTGGTTTTTTTGTAGATGAAGACGAAATCAAAGAAATTCATGATCGAGGAAAAACCATGTTTCCCGAAGAGATCACAGCGATCAGCAAAGAAAATTCTGAACACAGATTTTATTTATAATTAGATAAAGTTCATATTTATAACTATTCAATAATAATGTTTTTATCATAATGCTTAAGGGTCCTGTATGCACACTCAGTCGATAACGCCAGGATACTAAGTCATATTTAAGCTAAATAATTGAAAATTGTATTCGAAAATTTTCAAGTTGGGGCACATTTCTAATACATTTTTTAATATTGTTGTCAGGTTCATACAAGTCCGTGCATTAATAAAGGAGAAAAACGAAAACCGCGAATACTATATTTTACGAATAACTATTGATCGTGATTATTCGTAGTTTTCGTTTGTTTCTTTTATTAAAGCATAGAATTAATTGAAACTGGATTACAATATTAATGAGTGTGTTAGAAATGTGCGTCAACTCGAGAATTCGCGTATGACATTCTTAATTTTTCAGATTGAGCATATATGACGTAGTATGCTGGCGTTATCGACTCAGAGAGTATATCTGGTCCTTAAAGAATCTAAGACTTATTTTAAAATAAAAATCTTTCATTTCAAAAAAATGTTTGATTCTTTTTTTTTTATAAACATTTTTCAGTAGCATTAAAAAATTTGTATTTGCATAACTTTTTGTAGAAATGTCGGTATTGGTGCTGTGAACAACTGCACTAAATTTCATCCCATTACATTCAATAGAAGGACTCCTCAGAGCCGTTTTTCGAGAATCGGTCTAGTAAAAAAGTTATTTAAATTTACATTTTCAGAGTTCAGTCGAAAAAAAACGAGGCTTCGGCCTCACCTTAAACTAATGCCGATGGAAAGGGTTTACTCTTTCTTTACTAATCTAAGGGCTTTCCAGCAGATATTGATTTTTTGCTAGAGTGAGTTGTGATTTAAGAGTTCGCCTAGCGTCTTTGTGTGCGCTGAAAGAGCCCTGCGAACGATTTCGTTTATATATGGGTAAAAACGCGAGTAACGCCACGCGCGGGCAGCGAAAACGGCCGGATTGCTCGGTTTTCAACTGGCTCGCAAGGGGTTAAATAAAATTCAGAAAAAAAAACCAACATTGGTTTTTGATAGTTTTTTACCTCAGCTTCTACTGGTGGGGTCAAAAATCCAAAAATATGCCTCTATAACCTCAAAAAAATAAGTTGAAGGTAAACTACGCTGTAACTTCTAGAGTTCAACTCCAATCGACTTTTAGAGTAGCTAAATAGAAAGATCTCGCGATTTTACATAAGAAATAACTTTAAAAAAGGGACTTTCTCGATTTTTCCGAGCGGTGAAAAGGGAAAGAGCGCGAGGTCGGCAGTTTTCGAGCGTCGCGGCGCGCCAGCGCAGGGCAGTCGATGAGCTACTACTCTGCTCGCTCAGTTTATGCATTAAACTTCTTGCACGATAATAAACAAAAACTTCATTTTGATGTATTTTTTCCTCAGCTTTTCGATGGTGTCATTTTTTTATTTGTTTTAATTTTTTTTCATGTGTAAATGCAGGAAAACGTGTGAAAAAGGCGTTTTTTGCGCGGCACTGAACTTGAGATTGTCGCACGACCTTTCTTTTTTATTCTTTCTCGAATAAATAAATAATCCTATTTTTAACCACTAGGGGGCTCATTGCAGTTTACCAACACTCACAAACGATGCATACCTAAAATTGTACTTAGTATACTACCTACAATGGTGTTATCATCTTTCATCATTCGATAATTGGAACTATTTAACCCATTAAGTCCGGGACGGACACTTTTTCGATACTTTTTTAAGGCGTTATATTTTTGTTGAAAATGGGGTCTGAAAAAATTGCGAGTAAGCATATTCCACGCAAAATTTAATGTACTTTTCAAATCCGGTGTTAGATTTTTGATATAACCAACCGGTCAAAAGTTATGGATGGTTTTATAAAAAAAACGTGGTTTTTAAAAAAAAAATTTTTTTCTTTTCAAATTTTCACATGGAAATCGTTGAAGTCCTTGCGTCTCGGGTGCAAATTAAGCGTCTATGGACCCTAAACTAAAAGTTATTATGGTTTAGATTGGAGAAAATAAAGTTTAAGTAAACAAAATGGCGGTTGGAACACCAAAATTTGTTTAAAAACTTCTCGAATTTTTTTAAAAAAATTCTAGCGTATTCTTTGATCAATTCTAAAAACTTTTCCATCAGTAAAAATTTTTTCCTTAAGTCCTTCTTTTTCGAGATAAAAATTCCGAAAGTTTTTCAATATTTTTTGGTGTTCCAACCGCCATTTCGTGTGCTTAAATTACATGTTTTCATAGATGAAGACAAAGTAAATAAAAATTTGTTTTTTATCAGAATCTTGTTCTTTGAACTTTTATGAGCTATTCGTAAATTTTTTTACAAAAGCAAAAGGATTGGAAAAAAAGGTTTTATTCTTTATAGAATATCTTGAATATTTCCATCACAAATTATTTTCTCAGAAAGTAATTTTTGCAATGGCCCCTCGAAATTCAAAACGTGCAAAATTATCGCGCTCTGCTAATGTTGAGATTGAAGATAGAGACGATGGGAAGTATGATGCTATTTTTATTCCAGACATAAATGATTCAGGAGAATCTGACGTAGAATCAGATATAGAATCTGAAACAAACGTTTCATCTTCAAATAATTTTGATCGGGCATTTAGGATATCTTATCGTCGAGTTCTGGATAGCTATACTAACCACCAAAAGCATCTTGAACCTGACCATAAGTATGAGTGGACTGGTGGAGAAAAAAAATATGGAGAATGCCTTAAAAATGAAATTTTACTTTCTGATCATACAAAAGATATGATTCGAAATTTATCTGAAGTAGAGTTGTTTGAACTTTTTTTTTCCAAGGAAATCAAGAGCTATATCATTGAATGCACAAATATAAATGGTTACAAACTGACTAAAAACGATTTAGATATTTTTATAGGTAATATTAGTACTATCAACTTTTAATGAAAGGAAATCGCAAAAAGATTATTGGTCCAAAAATCCACTTCTCTCATGTCCAGCTGTTTCTTCAGCCATGTCTCGCGATAAATTTTTAAAAATAAAATCAAAATTGAAGATGAATAAATTAGAAGATAAAGATGAGAATGACAAAGCTTGGAAAGTTTACAAAGTTCTCGAAATTTTTCGAGGAAACAATTTGGTTTTTTTCTACCGCCTTAACTGTAGATGAAATGATGGTAAAGTTTCACGGTCGTACAAATTTACAACAGTTCATGAAAAATAAACCTGAACGATGGGGAATCAAAAAATGGGAAATAGCTAGTGCTGAAGGATATTTGTTTGACTGTGACATATATTGTGGTAAGGGATCAAACATTTATTCTTCCAAGAAAAAACCTGTACTCACAAAGTGTTCTTTAGGAAGCCGCGTAGTTCTTTCGATGACTCAAGACTTACTATTATCAATTGTACCTGGAAAATTGGATCGATACCACTTATATTTTGATAACTTTTTCACTAATCCTGATTTATTAATTCATTTGAAAACACGTGCATTGAAGGCTACGGGTACAGTACGAGTGAATAGAGTTAATGCAGTAAATAATCTAGATAAAAACGCCGAAAGAGGTGCTCATATTGTACAGTACGAAAAAAATAGTGGACTAAATTTCATTACTGCCATGGATTCTAAAGCTGTATCTGTGCTTTCAACGGCAGCAGGAGTTACTCCTTTATCTGATATGGATAGATTTTCATTTGATGAAATGAAAGATATTGCAGTACCATTTCCACACGCATTTAAAATGTACAACACGTTCATGGGTGGAGTTGATTCACATGATTCGCACTGTAGCAATTTGATGCCATGCATAAGAGCAAAACGATGGACGTGGCCCATCTTTATAAGACTCATTCAATCTTCAATGGCAAATGCAACTGTCCTTCGAAATTACGTGCATGAAACAAGAGGTTCCAAAGAACTCGCTATGAAAATTGCCGAGCATTATCTTTTGAAAGCAACAGTTAGACAAAAACACAATGAAGGGATTGCTGATTTGAAAAGAAATTGTGAGAACTACAGCAAATGTTCTGTAAGAACACAAAAAATATGTAAGGACTGCAATGTTCATGTATGTTCTGCATGTTTTAAAATTTTGCATCAATAAATGTAAAAAGGTGATGCGGTAGATAAAAAGAAAATTGAAAAAAAAATTTATAAAAAAATTGAAAAAAAAAAAAAAAAAACTTTCGGAATTTTTATCTCGAAAAAGAAGGACTTAAGGAAAAAATTTTACTGATGAAAAAGTTCTTAGAATTGATCAAAGAATACGCTAGAATTTTTTCAGATTTTTTTGAAAAATTTTTTCGATTTTTGAAAATTGAAAATTTTGAAAAATCAAAAAAAAATTCCGAAAAATCTGAAAAAATTCTAGCGTATTCTTTTCGTAGCGAACTTTTTCATCAATAAAATTTTTTCTTTAAACCCTTCTTTTTTGAGTTAAAAATTCGAGAAGTTTTTAAACAAATTTTGGTGTTCCAACCGCCATTTTGTTTACTTAAACTTTATTTTCTCCAATCTAAACCATAATAACTTTTAGTTTAGGGTCCATAGACGCTTAATTTGCACCCGAGACGCAAGGACTTCAACGATTTCCATGTGAAAATTTGAAAAGAAAAAAATTTTTTTTTTAAAAACCACGTTTTTTTTATAAAACCATCCATAACTTTTGACCGGTTAGTTATATCGAAAATCGGACACCGGATTTGAAAAGTACATTAAATTTTGCGTAGAATATGCTTACTCGCAATTTTTTCAGACCCCATTTTCAACAAAAATATAACGCCTGAAATAAGTATCGAAAAAGTGTCCGTCCCGGACTTAATGGGTTAATAGTTACCATTCTTATTGTCGACTTGACTTTCGTAAGCGATCATTATGGTTCGTAAATATTGTAGTAACCCTTTAAAAAAAACCACCATGAAGTAAAAAATTTGCGTCCTTTTACAAAAGATCTGAAACATGATTTTGAGGATATTTGTGATGCAGCCTAGCTTTGTGTACATTGCAGAGTAGAAATATATGCTTTGAAAAAAAATGGTAAGTTAAATAAATGTACGGATGATATGCACCGAGCTGGTGTTACCGTTTTGAATCAAATAATAGAAAAATTTTCTCTTGCCTCTACAAGAGTGGAGAGAATATTTCTGTTTACCCTTACCCCCAAATATGCTGGAACCGTCGTGATTTAATGCGAGAATTTGGTTGTACGGAGAGAGAAGCGCGACAATCCTCAGGTTTAGTATCTGAAAGTGGGATTCTCACCTATCCGAAAAAATATCACGTGGAGCCTTAGATCAAAATATGAAAAATTTAGAAGTCGAATTTTATATGCGAGACGATATGAGTCGTCCGATGGCTGGGTTTGGGGAAACAAAATCTATCAAGCAAGAAGATGGAGCACGAGTACATGCTCAAAAAAGAATGCTTCTAAGCTATATTAATGAATTGTATGCAATATCCATTAAAGAAAATAAAAATGTAAAAGTGAGATTAACAAATTTTACTAAATTTCGATCTAAACAATGTATTCTCGCTGGCTCAAGTGGTTCACATAACGTTTGCGTTTGCGTGCATCATGAAAACGTGAGGCTTATGTTGGACGCACTTGATTTAAATTTTTTGACCGAAAATGAGAAAGAACGTTTAAATAACTATAAAGACTGCATAAAACAGGTCGTTTGTAAAAAACCATCAGAGTCATGTTTTCTTGGTGAATGTTTAGATTGTCCAAATTTTGGTGATTTGAGGCAATTAATATTAAAATGTCTTGAATCTGAAAATATTAATGAAATTGAATATGAGGCGTGGCTATCAACTGATAGATGCACCATAGCAGTAGTAAAGAGTAATATTTATGAGTTTTTAGATTTATTGGGCGAGAAATTTTTCAATCCTTGAATAATAATTTAAAGTCGAATGAAGTTATTATATGTTTTGATTTTGCAGAGAACTACGCTTTTGTAGTACAAGACTCTGCTCAATCATTTCATTGGAATAATAATCAAGCGACGATCTTCACTGTATTAATTTATTATAAAAATGGAAAAAAAATGAAGCATAAGAGCTTGGTTACTATATCCGATAACTTAGCTCACGACACGGCTGCTGTTTATGAATACCAAAGTATTGTTATTCAACACATCAAAACATTATTTAAGCCAACCAGAGTATATTACCTTACCGATGGCGCAGGGCAACACTTCAAAAATAAAAACAGTTTTATTAATTTGAATTATCATGAACAAGATTTTGGGTTTCCTGCTAAATGGCATTTTTTTGCTACAGAACAAGGCGAAGGGCCATGTGATGGAATTGGGGCGAATATTAAATTCGGTGCGAGGCGTGCGCAAGTTTACAACGATTAACAAAAACCAAAATTTTAACGGCAAATGATTTGGCGCAATGGGCAAAAAATTATTGTAAAGAGACATCAATATTTTTCAGCCGAAAAGAAGATCAAAATCTGTCACAGTTAAAATTGGAAAGTAGGTATGCGCAAGCGAAAATGATACCTGGTACTTTGAACTATCATGCTTTTATTCCACAAAAAAATAATGAATTATTATTAAAAAAAACATCATTAACTGATAACTATAAACTTTTCACAAATAAAAGTAAAATTACTCAACCAGCTACTTCAAAAACAGTGTCCGTAAAAAAAGCAGTGACCAAAAATAAAAAAAAAAATGATTTTTTTCGTGTTTTACACACGTTTCCTGCATTCACACATGAAAAAAAATTGAAACAAATAAAAAAATGACACCATCGAAAAGCTGAGGAAAAAATACATCGAAATCGTGTTTTTGTTTATTATTGTGCGAGAAGTTTAACGCATAAACTGAGCGAGCAGAGTAGTAGCTCATCGACTGCCTCGCGCTGGCGCGCCGCGACGCTCGAAAACTGCCGACCTCGCGCTCTTTCCCTTTTCACCGCTCGGAAAAATCGAGAAAGTCCCTTTTTTTAGAGTCATTTCTTATGTAAAATCGCGAGATCTTTCTATTTAGCTACTCTAAAAGTCGATTGGAGTTGAACTCTAGAAGTTACAGCGTAGTTTACCTTCAACTCATTTTTTGAGGTTATGGAGGCATATTTTTGGATTTTTGACCCCACCAGTAGAAAGCTAAGGTAAAAAACTATCAAAAACCCATGTTGGTTTTTTTTCTGAATTTTATTTAACCCCTTGCGAGCGAGTTGAAACCCGAGCAATCCGGCCGTTTTGGCTGCCCGCGCGTGGCACTGGGGCATTACTCGCGTTTTTACCCATATGAGTGATTCTGACTAACTTTTAAAATAACGCCTAAAAAAATTTTTGATGAAAAATTTAGCGGCACAGTATCCGGAATGAATTTTTCTTGAATATTATCAACAAAGAATCCCAAAAATAACTTTGGGCTTTATTTTCCTCCATAGTCCATTTGGGAAACCCGATTTAAATGTGGGTCAAAATAAAACTTCTTCAAATTTTCGAATGACACCGATCTAGATGCGCTTTTGATATGTTATAGTACATGGTAAAAAAATCCTAAAGCCAAAATTTTACTCCCCATCCCCCCCTCCTACCCCCTCCACCCCTATAAACGTCCATTCTTTATTTATATTCATTCTGAAGCCCTGAAGTAATTAAAAAATCTGAAAAAATTCATAATAGTACATATCAACAAAACTAAGCACCTTGAATTTCTTCAGATTTTTCGAGGGCTTCAGGCCTTCAGATAAAATAATTAAAAATTTGGAAAATTTATATACGGCGATACGAGCCAATATCAAACTCGAAAATTTTTTTCTCTGTTTTATGCATTGAAAAACATGACCTTAAATTTCTTTGGATTTTTTCAAGTTTCCTTATGCACTTTTTGAAGCGAAAAAACCCCTTTTTCTTTCATGTGTTTTCATGTGACATTACTTATATCATCCCGCACATAATTATCTACGTAGGCGAATTGCGTAGTCATTATAAATGAATTAAATGTAAAATTTTTTTTTTACGGCCTTGCCCTTGATGATATAGCAAAATTTTTTAAATAAAAAAAGAAAGTGTGTGAAAAAAAATTATTTGTTGAATAATTTATTTATTCATGATAAGAAAAAAATTTTTCATGAAAAAAAATATATTTATAAAAATTTTTCATGAAAAAAAAAATTTTTTATAAAAATTGTTTATAAATTTCCCATGAAAAAAATTTTTTTTATAAATTAATTAATTTATTCATAGTAGAAAAAAATTTCATGAAAAAAAAATTTTTTTCAAAAATTTTTAAGTGATTAACGCAGGATTATCGAATGTTCAATCCAGCGTACAATTCTTATTAAATAAGGGACAGAGTTCTGGTTGGGCTCATTTTGTTCGTCTTTTCCAGCCCTTTTTAAACATGTATACAGATATAAAAAAAAACAATAGTCCATTGTAAAAAATGAAAATGTATAAAAAAAGCTAAAAGTTCAAATAATCCAGTACGCGCGGAAAACATTCTGGGAAATTTCCAATTTAGGAGGATCAAGTTCAGGTCACAAATTTTTCTAAAGTATGTGAATAAAGGAAGGTAACATGATAATTTCAGATCATTTGGTTAATAGTCCATTTTTTAAGAAGCTATCGAAAATTTATTTTATTCGCAGTACGTTTTTTGACTCAAGAGTAAAATCGATTTTCAAACGTGCGATACAAAAAGGACGGGCCACCAAAACGCTCAAAAATAAAAGTGTAGATCTCTCAAGTCTTCTTAAAGACCCTGATAAAATTTCAGAACTGTGCATGGTAAATTACCTGACTTACACATCAGTACGTGCAATTTTAAAAGTTAGTCAGAAACACTCATATACGATATAATTTGTCGCGTGTGTGCATTAGTGCTCGAAGTTTATTTGTTATCCAAGGTTTGGATGGTGAAGTAAATGTAACGCGTTTTGATAGTGCGAAACGGTCAAGAGTTCTGAGCATGCAATCGGTAATAGTTTCAACTATGGAATCTGGTGGAGAAGAGCAGAGTAAAGCAGCGTCTTGGGAATAATCAAGAGAGCATGCAGCAAAAGCGAGTTCAATTGGGTGGTTAAAGCAAGAGGGTCTTTTTTGGATATATGTCGAATTGATAAACTGCTTGTGCAGTT